CCTTCGAGTTCTTGAACCTGGGGTAATGGCAATCAATTTGTAGTAAGAACTATGCTTGCTATGTTTTGGAACTTGAATAAAAAACATTGTCATTTTTAATGTTTACTAGGTACATAATACACTGGCGGTTTGCTTAGCAAATTTGGAGGGTCATGATTTGATTTTGTCTTGCATTTTTCATAATGGGTTCAAGAATATATTTAAGGTTTTCATATTTTTTGGTAATTTTTGCTTGATTATTTGGACCTTTGATTACGTATCAGCAGTTAATGATTAATTTGACTAAAGCTAATGATAGTGTGGCTGACACTTGCTATGTTGCTGATATTGCTAAAGTCATAATCTTTCATAATTTCAGTCAAAGCAAAACCCTACACTGCTTCATTATCAGCTAACCATATAAATCAGTGTGTAGTAAAAGATTAGGCTGATTAGACAAAAAATAAATTGCTAGAAATTGCCTTGAATAGGAGTAAAAATGTTTCGAAATTCCAAAATAAGACCTTCATGTTTTATTGCCTGAATAGGAGTAATTTGTGTCAAGTTTGGAAAAAACTTGGCATAAGCTGCAATGTTTAAAGTCTGATAATGCCAAACTTGGCAGAAATTATTCCTATTTAGGGAATAAAAACATCAAGTTTGTATTTTAGAATTTCAAAACTTTTTTACCCCTATTTATGGAATTTCCCAAAAATTGCTATAGAACGTTGTGCAACTGAGTTCTTCCAACATTTGTTGTGCATTTGTTTGGAATGCTTTTACTTATCCTTATTTCATCACTTTCATGCAATTTATTAAAACAATATACCACGATTTTGTTTAAGAGAATGTACTTTGGTATCATCATCATAGCATTCATGTTTCCAACTATCCTGATGGAATTGCCACCTCCTGTTAGGTTGTTCTGTTACTGACCAATGTTTGGTGAACAACAAGAGCATTTGGTGGTCATTTGTCGAACTTTGACTAGAAAACCAAGTTTTGATACTAAGATATTCCTTAAATCTCTCATCTAAAGCCTCCTTGTGTAGTCCGAGTAAACCTGAACTACAGTTGTAGCACTGCCAAAAAGAAAAACACAGCAAAGTTATAGACGTTTTGGGAACTTCAAGGATGGGTGATGTATTTATATAACTTATATTCGTGTATTTTTTCATAGACATGAATTGATTAGTTTTTTTTTCATGAATCATCGAAAGGATAACCAACATTGTCCATTCATCTATGAGAACTGTTTGGAATACACACTTTAGTTTCTGTACACGTTTCACACACTTGTTTGCATACATAAATAACTTGCCTACAAAATAGAGGTTGTATACGCAAAGTGTACAAATTGTATACAAGTGGTTTTTTCCTTCATTTATGCCGCCTTAAATGTGATTCTTTAGAGTGGTATAATATGAGGTATGACTTCTAAAAAATCAACAAAGCTATAGACGTTTTGGGAACTTCAAGGATGGGTGATGTATTTATATAACTTATATTCGTGTATTTTTTCATATTAAGCTTATGAGGGATTAAGTTTATGAGTCACACCATGAAACTTTGGGAGCGAGTGATTGAGCAAAGACTTCGAAGGCCTGCTCGATCTCTGCCACAACGTAAAGGAGTGACTAGAGAGAAGTGTTCTTGGGCCGCGTGACTCGGAACAAAATTGGTGAGCAAATACTATGGCCCCGATTAGGCTGGACTCGGGCCGGGCGGCCCGACCCGGAACCGACGCGGCCCGCCCATTGTAGCAACCGGCCCGGCCCGGTGGCCCGGTCCACCAGCGGTTCGGGTCGAACCGGCCCGGTGGATACCGGTTCCGGGCCCGGGCCCTCCATTTGGTGAACCGGCCCGGCCGGTTCAGGCCCGATCCGGGCCGGAATTAATTTTTTTTTTTTTTGAAATTGTTTTAAGTTTTGGGTTGGATTAGGTATTTTGGGCCATTTGAGGTGGTTTGGGGTTGAGGGGGAGGGTTAGGGGTTAAATAAAAGAAGCCAAAAAAAAAATTAAATGCCCGGGTGAACCGGCCCGGCCCGGTCCGGCCCAGAACCGGACCTGGAACCGCCCACCCCCGGTTCGGGCTCGGGCCTCATATTTCTGAACCGAGGCCCGGCCGGGCCCAGGCCCGAGGCCCGAACCGGCCCGGTTCAGTCCAGCCCTAGCCCCGATCATGACTAACCACCGTAAAGGGTTTATCATCATCATTTTCTTGCTCATGACAGATGATGTGGTCCATATTCTCCATTTTTATTTATGAAGATTAACTCATTTGAAAACACGATAAAAACTACAAAAATCATTAGCACAATATTGTTGTGTAGTAAATGTGATTCAAATAAGTCAAAAGGTAGGTAATGGAAACAAATGTAAATCAAACCTTAGAAATAATACTAAGTTTTTTGGAATTCCGTGAAGTGGACAACATAATGTTTATCTGGAAAATTGCCTTCTGCATTTTTCAAGTGTTTAGAGACAAACTGCTTAATGAAAAATGTTCACAGATGTTTTTAGGGCTTAAGAGACAAACTACAGTTCTTATATTCCCTGCAATTTTTTATATAAACATCTGTGAATTATGTTATCTGGATTCTTGCTCTTTTCAACCATCTTCTAACTTCGTTGGGTTTGTACTAAAAACTGCTCAAATTAATTAATGAAAAAAATTGCTTAAATTCAAATTGTGAATTGTGCCTGCCTTCTAAAAACAGTTAATCTATCGTTGTTTTCATGTTTTTGTTTGATCATGCAGGAATTATTGATGATATTGTACTAACCTCATGTGGAACGTAACTGGAGAAAAAAATGTATTTCTACGTTTATTGCTCGTTCGTGCGTAGGTTTTCTGGAGGGCCAGGGTTTCGTTCCTCCTCCCAGTGCGTTTCTGTGAGGTTTGCGCCAGGCTCGCATACTAATCCCAGGGGATTAGTCGATTAAACGATCGTTAGGCATTGGTAAGGGTAATTAAGAGATTTGATTTATTTTAATTATTCCTATTTAATTTAGTGGCTGTGTTTAGTAAAAAGGGGTCGTGAATAGAAACACCCTTCATCAAAAGCACAATCAAACGTCAATCCAGCAATTCAACCAACAATGCAAAGAAAACTCAAAACAGTTTGCGGCCCAACCACTCCCCATTCCTAGACATTTCATTAAAAACAGCCATCATGCTTTTCGTATCCGCGCCGCACCAGCTCAAAAAACAAACTGACGTGTTGACCAAGACCTGTGATATGCCAACATCCTTGTCGGTCATCATACCCAGCCGGCAAGCCAGCCACCCCGCCTGGTTCCGGCGACGCCCGACGGTTCCGGTGGAACGGAAGTAGGAGAAAACCACGCACCAGCCAGAAGGAACCAAAATCAAGTAGATTTTAGCCATAACAATTCCGATGAGTATTCCGATCTCCGTCTCCAGCGACACCATCTCGACCAAAATAAATATGCGAACACATTTTTAATCCCCCGGCAGAACCTTCCGCCAGTACCTAAACTTTGAGTTTTCTGATCAGCTTCTCCGGGTAACAACATAAATAACAACATTAAGGCACAGAAAACATAGACGTACGCACCATGAAAACCACTCTGTCGAGAGTGAGGCAGTAAATGAGTGGGTTGATTTCTCACCGAGAGCCCGAGAACGTAGTATCCTGTTTTCTTTCCAGGTGAGGTTTCAAAATTAGGAACGATTTCCTTAAGCAACTTTGACCTCACTTCTCCTTGGTTTCTTTGGCTCCGATGAAGCACCTTGTCGGCAAAACAAATTTCCTCATGACAACTTGAAAGGGATCAAAGAAATCAAGAGCAACAGTTTGTCAATGGAATAGCATGGAGGTACCTTTTATTTGACCTGTTGATTTTGCCGGCGAATTGATTTTGTGGCAATCGGCAATCACCTAATGTCTGTTTCCCTGCTCCAGCCTCCTCAGGCCCTCCATGGACTGTCAATCGGCAATCACCTAATGTCTCTCTAACTCTCTATGCTTTGAGACTTGCTCTTCTCTAAAGTTCAGCTTATGAAATGCCAAACTCACTGTCGTTTCTCATCTTTTTAGAAGACAGAAGTAGCCTAATTACTCAGAGTTCCAATGCAATGCATTACGCTCCTATGCTACTGTGGCACAACTTTTAATAGACTTCACATGCACTTTGTTAACCACCGGATCCTCTATTAACTTCTGGACATTTTAGTGTCATTGGTGGACTGACTTTTTGACCCATGATTGAGACGCAGAATTATTGGCCAACATTCCACTTCGTTTTGTATATTATAAGATAAGATATTTCTTGGAAAAATTCACATTAATAATCCGAACTATTAACGATCTTCTCATATTAATCCCAAACAGGGGCGGAACCAGAACAAAAAGTAAGGGGTGGCTAAAAGTATTATCAATGCAAAAATATAAATTGTAATTAAAGTTTACAGAATATAAAAATTGTGAGAAGAGTACATTACATTACAATTAATAGTTAGAAGAAGAAACCAAAATTTAGACAATTGTGTGCGGCGTGTCTCCATATGTTGAAAACGTTGCAAAATTGATTCATTATCAATTTTAGCAAATATTTTCTTCTCCATGTATATACATGACCAATCGGTCTCTCATAAAACAATTATAATCTTTGATTGGTTTACGTAATTCAGGATCAGACACAACATCATTTGGATCAAATTCGGCACGAGAATGTTTTTTTTCTATTTCTTTCTTCGTTATTCCGTCTAGAAGACCCAACGCCTCGTGTTACAAATTGTAAAATAGACATGATCACATGAGTAACCTAACAAGTTAAAAATGCTTTCAACTTTAAATTCTTGAAGAGTTAAACCATTTAATCAATTAAAATTTAAAGCAGGTAAAGCCATAAAAGTAATTAATCAAAAAATTGCATAAACAATTTAAACTTTATACCAATTCAAGCAATTAATCAATTAAAACTTTAAAGCAATTAAAGTGAATAATCAATACATTTGCCAAAGAATTTAAATTCTAAAGTAATTAATTAATTAATTCAATTTTAAGTTTTCATAAGTAATTAAAGCAAATAAGCATTAAGCAATTAAAATAATTAAAAGGAATTTCAATTTTAAAAGTAATTACCAAAAGGTCCAAAGCCAAAGTACGCAACTGGCTAAACCGTGGCCGCCTAAACGCGAATCGGAAGTCAGAGTTCCGGCTTCTCACTTCTATATCGAAGAAACAAGGCAGCGTCTGACGGCGACTCTGCGGGGAAGAAGGAGGGACTACGGTGTGCGCCCTGCGGATTATCAAACGAAGTTGCGATTTGCGAAGGCGCCAGGCAGGATTGCGGCTCTGCTTTGAAGCACGAGGATGAGGTCTGGACGGGAACGGAAGGTCAAACACTCAAAAGTTATCAGTTTAGGGCCAAACGACGTCGTTTTTTATTTTACTGTGCACTTATCCAAACGACCTCGTTTGGCGGATTGTTTTAATTAAAAAAAAAATTGCTGCACGTCATATCTTCTCTGGTTCGCTGCATCTTGCACCGCAGGTCCGCAAGTCCGCAAGTCGCCTCAAGGAAGAAGATGAAGTCCATCGGGGGCGGCACTCTAAATACCTAATCCTAGTAGTAAAAAAACTCCGGCGAAGGGGTGGCGCGGGCACTGGCTCGCTCCCCCCTAGTTCCGCCCCTGATCCCAAATATGTGTAATTTCAAAATAATCCAAAGTTGATGGGTAATCTTCTCATGTTGATCCTAGGTCACTTACTACTTACTAAACAGGTAAAAAATTAAGGGAAAAGGTGCAAATAGGCCCATGTACTAACCAAAAAAGGTCAAATAAGCCCTTATTTAGGAGGTTCTGTCCGGCCGTCATCATTTGGGGTGGTTCCCGGTTGAATTTTTTGATGAAATTTTTTTAGCATCTTATTCATCAAATCTAGTTACTCATACCAAATTTCAGCTAAAACTTCAATCGGGAAGGCATTCAAATGAATTCTTGAAGATAACTGTGCTTCTAACTGCGCAGTTATCTTCAAGAATTCATTTGAATGCCTTCCCGATTGAAGTTTTAGCTGAAATTTGGTATGAGTAAACTAGATTTGATGAATAAGATGCTAAAAAAATTTCATCAAAAAATTCAACCGGGAACCACTTCAAATGGCGACGGCCAGACAGAGCCTCCTAAATAAGGGCTTATTTGACCTTTTTTGGTTAGTACATGGGCCTATTTGCACCTTTTCCCAAAAATTAAAAAGAAAAAAAGAAAAAAAAGGAAGGAATGTAAACGGATAGATCAGCCACTCAGGTAACTCACTCAACCCTACGCCTTTACCTCTATTCATCTTACATTCTTACCTAATAGTGTAGATTTATTATTATTTCTTAGTGTGGAACTCCTTGTGTAATATTAACTCTTTCTAGTATAAATATATCTGCCAGGGCTACCATTAAGGTTAAGCCTGGTATTATTTCTCACATGGTATCAAGAGCCAATTTCTAAAATCCCTAATTTTTTTTCCGGCTACGATGACTTCTACGCCAACTTCTTCCGCCGCCGCTGAGTTGTCTGAGCCGGCCACAATTTCAGCCACCGCCCAGATGACGTCGCCGGCCTTCTCTTCGTCTCCAGCAACTCAGCCTCTATCTTCCGCTGCTTCAATCTCGCAGCAGGCCTCCAGTCTGTCTTCTCAAACGATGGCTGCTTCAACAACTCTTCCCTTCATGTCAATGGACCCTGTTATCTCTCAAACCTGGATGCCGCCTCCTCTTACGACGGAATTTAGCGCCTGGAATCCTCCCCTCTTTACTTGGACGCCGACACAGCCCTCAGTCCATCCACCAGTGCAGCCCGTCCTCTCTACTGGCCGAAGTTTTCTTCCTCCCATGGACTCTGCCTCCAATTTTGCTGGTCCTACATTTGCAGGAGCACCAGGTATTGCACCACTCTCCTCTCCTAGGCCAATTGCTCCCCGAAGTACTGCTGCCAACACCGGCTCTATTCTTAATGAATTAGTTAAGAGTATTGGATTTTCTGCCCTTAATATTACCAACGTTGTGACCACCAAATTAGCTGCGGTAGAGGATTACCAATATTGACGTACTCAATTTGAGTCTTTTCTGCTCTCCAATGGTTTTTTGGGAATTTTAGATGGTTCGATTCCTGCTCCCCCTCCCTATATTTTTTATGCGTTTCATCTTGAGACAATTAATCCGGACTATTGTAATTGGTTAAAACTTGATCAAACGGTGCGTTCGTGGCTATTTGCCACTTTGTCTCGAGATGTCTTAATTGAGGTGCATGACTTAAAGAATGCTTCTGCTATTTGGAGTCGGTTAGAGTCTCATTTTATGTCTGCTAGTCTTGCCCGGTCCATGGAATTAAAACGCCAATTGACTACCTCTCGGAAGGGACCTAATCAGTCTGTGGAGCATTATCTCAGAGACATTAAGATTATTGCTGATAACTTAGCTTCGATTAATGATCCTGTTGCTCCTCGTGAACTATTTAAAACTATTTTGATGGGTCTGGGACGAGACTATGAGTCTCTTATTACCTCAGTTGGTCTATTTCCGGAGAGCTTCACCTTTGAAAGACTACGCAACTGCTTGATTGAAAAGGAGCAAACTATACAGTATATGCGTACTCTAGAAGAGCCTCCGCAGGCCCAAGCATTTGCGGTCCAAGCTCAGGCTGCCGGGCAGCCACCTCCCAACGGCGGGCAGCAGCAACGTGGGAGAGGTTATCGCGGTAGGGGTGGTCGTGGACAGCGGGGCAGAGGGGGCCGCGGACAGCGTGGCCGCGGTTATGCCCCACATCAGCATGGTTATGGCTTTCCTCCTCCGATGGGCTACGGCTACCCCCCTCCTGGCTATGTTCCAGGGGGTGCACCTCATGCGGGCATTCTTGGGGCTCCAGGCTCAGCAGGTATATCTGTTCAGTCACATGTTTATACTTATGCCTTATCTGCTTCTTGTACTAACCGTGGATATGCAGGCTCTTCATCTGTTGAAGGGAACTCTGTTCCTCATCCTGTAGTTTGTCAAATTTGTTATGCCCCAGGTCATCCCGCCTCTACTTGTCCGTCCCGTTTTGTTCAGCCGGCTGCACCTGCTCTCGCTGCTCAGGCTCCTGATGCTACTGACATTGTGTGGTATCCTGACTCAGGTGCCTCTGCTCATATGACTCCTCATCCAGGTATTTTGTCTAATAAAACCTTTTCTCCTAATTCTCATTCAATTATTGTAGCTAATGGTACTTCTCTTCCTGTTATGCATACTGGTGAGGTTGTTTTGAGTTCCTCTGCTCGTCCTCTTCGCCTAAAATCTGTTTTTCATGTGCCTAATATTAAATATAATCTTCTGTCCATTCAAAAATTATGTGCTGATAACAACTGTGTTGTAGTTTTTGATAAAAATTGTTTTTCTGTAAAGGACAAAACTACGGGGGCGGTTCTACTTCGAGCGGTCAGTGATAATGGTGTCTATCCTGTTCGTCAGCCTGCACTTCCACCTGTTGCCCTTTCTGCTGCTTCTGTTTCCCTTTGGCATAATAGATTAGGACATTGTGGTACTCGTGTTTTAGATCAACTTAGAATTAATAATTTAATTTCTGGCACTTCTGCTTCTATTTCTGATTGTATTCCTTGTCGTTTGGGAAAATCACAACGGTTACCTTTTAATAAAGTTTTTCACAACAGTCTGTGTGCTTTATATTTAATCCATTCTGATGTTTGGCAATCTCCTGTGTTATCTCATCTTGGTTTTAAATATTATGTTTGTTTTGTGGATGATTTTTCTCGTTTTACATGGCTATATCCTATGCGGCGTAAGTCTGAGGTTACTACTCATTTTCATCATTTTAAATTAATGATTGAAAATTTACTTGACCGCAAAATTAAGATTTTTCAGAGTGATGGAGGGGGTGAATTTGATAATTTTCATATGCGGAATTTTTTTACTGATTCTGGAATTATTTTTCAAAAATCTTGTCCTGAAACTCCGCAGCAAAATGGCGTGGCTGAGCGCAAGCACCGTCATTTAATTGAACTAGCGCGAACCATGCTCATCACTGCCAATTTGCCCGCTCAGTTTTGGGTTGATGCTGTTCTCACTGCCACTTTTATTATTAATCGGTTACCCTCTCCTACTCTACATGGTGTTTCTCCGTATGAAAAATTGTTTCTCTCTGCACCGGATTTATCTGGAATGCGTGTTTTTGGTTGTGCATGTTTTCCAAACTTTAATGCCACTTCTGCTGATAAACTTTCTCCACGGTCTGTTCAGTGTGTTTTTCTTGGTTATGCGTCTGAATATAAAGGATATCGTTGTCTTGATCCTATTTCTGGTCGGGTTTATATTAGCAGAAATGTCCGATTTTTAGAAAATATTTTTCCATATTCTAAGTTGATTAGTGCTACACTGTCTCCGTCGAGTATGCCTTCTTACACCGCTCCTTTGGTTCCCCTACGTACCAGTGATCAGCCCCCATCCTCAGACCTGCAACTGCAATCCCATCCAGTTGACTCACTCCCAGATTTCCATGCACCCACTCCAACCTATAATCATGTTCCCAGCCCCTCTTCTACTCCCATTACCTTAGCAGACAGCCAATTACCTTCCACTACTCTGGCTGAGACTTTACTGGCCGACACACCACCATTCCCTACTTCACTGGCCGACAAATTAACAGTGCCTACCCCCCTGGCCGAAACCACAACAGCCTCTACCTCTTTGACCGAAACCCCAGCAACCTCTACCTCCTTGGCCGACACCATCTCGACCAACACAGCAGCTCCCAATAGCTCCGCCCCGGTTGACAATATTCATTCAATGCAAACCCGGTCCAAATCCGGTTTTTTTAAACCGAAACCTATTTTTAATTTAAACACAGTTGTTAGCACACCTGATCCTACTTCTTTTTCAATAGCTAATAAACATCTTAAGTGGCGAGCTGCTATGGCAGAGGAATTTAATGCTCTTATCTCTAATCATACATGGGATTTAGTACCATTTGATGCTAAAAAGAATGTGGTTGGGTCAAAATGGATTTATAAGACTAAGTATTTGGCTGATGGGTCTGTGGAACGCTACAAAGCACGGTTAGTTGCTCAGGGGTTTAATCAGCAGGCAGGTATTGATTTCACTGAAACATTTAGTCCTGTTGTTAAGCCCACTACTGTTCGTCTTGTTCTCACTTTAGCCGTGTCTTTTGGTTGGCCGATTCGCCAACTTGACGTTAAAAATGCTTTTCTTCATGGAAATTTAACTGAGGAAGTTTATATGCGTCAGCCTCCGGGTTTTGTTCATCCTCAGTTTCCTCACCATCTGTGTCGGCTTCGAAAAGCCATTTATGGACTTAAACAAGCACCTCGTGCTTGGTTTCATAGGTTTAGTAGTTTTCTTCTTTCTCATGGTTTTGCTTGTAGCCGGTCTGACAACTCTTTGTTTATTTTTCGGCGTAATTATGATATTATTTACCTGTTATTATATGTTGATGATATCATTGTTACAGGCAATTCTTTTAAGTTAGTCACTCATTTTTTATCTCTCTTAAATAAATGTTTTGCTATGAAGGACTTGGGAGACTTACATTTCTTCCTTGGCATTCATGCTCATCGTACTCCCTCTGGTCTGTTTCTTTCTCAGCAAAAATACATATCAGATCTTCTTCATCGGTTTCATTTACATACCTTAAAATCCGTGCGCTCACCACTTCCTAGTCGTACTAAACTTTCCCTTACTGATGGAGAGCTTCTCGCTGACGCCACGGAATACAGGAGTATGGTAGGTGCATTACAGTATTTGACTTTGACTCGACCAGATATTACTTTTGTTGTACACCTGGTTTCTCAATTTATGCATGCTCCACGCACTTCACATTTGTTGGCTGTTAAGCGTATTTTCAGGTATCTTCAGGGAACATCCACTCATGGTCTACTCTTACAGTCCTCACGTGGCTCTACAGAGGTCATTGCTTATTCTGATGCTGATTGGGCTGGATGTCCTGATACAGGCAGGTCTACTTCAGGCTATGCAATTTTTCTGGGGCCCAATCTTATATCTTGGCGGTCCAAAAAGCAGCCCACGGTCTCCCGCTCTTCCACGGAAGCTGAATATAGAGCCATTGCCTACACGGTTCAGGATACTCTTCACATACGATCTATTATGTTCGAGTTGGGGTTTGCTGTTCGTTTTCCGACTACTCTGTTCTGTGACAATGTATCTGCTTCATATCTGTCTGTTAATCCCATCCAACATGTCAGGAGTAAGCATATTAATATTGACTATCATTTTGTTCGTGAACGAGTAGCTCATGGTGATCTTCGTGTTAAGTATGTTCCGACACAGGCTCAGCTGGCAGATATTTTTACCAAGTGTTTGTCGCCACAACGTTTTATTCTTCTTCGTGACAATCTGCGCATTGTTTCCCCTGCACAGCTTGAGGGGGTGTAATAGTGTAGATTTATTATTATTTTTTAGTGTGGAACTCCTTGTGTAATATTAACTCTTTCTAGTATAAATATATCTGCCAGGGCTACCATTAAGGTTAAGCCTGGTATTATTTCTCACATTACCCATTTCTTATTCTTTACTTCGTATTCCATTCACATGCAATCGACGGACATGAGGGCATCACACTGTATAGGAAAAAGAGTTGTTAGCATGGCTTGGACTGTATGCATGGTTTCTGGATCAAGGTTTGCGCTTTCCATGGATTATTCTCCCCTGTTCTTTTCTTTCCCTCTCTCTACCGCACATGGATATATCCTTCTCACTTTGAACTTCATTTTTTATTTGGGTTTGCGACCATACTCAAGTTTGTACTTCTTTCTTTTAATTTCAGATTCGGAAAAGTTAATTTGAACAATTCAAACTCAAATTTGACATGGTTCATCGTGGACAATGACAAAAATTGGATGATAGTCGACCTACGAATCATGGAAACTAGCCCAGCTTGGATGACCGGGGGATGGCGACGTTGGGATGGATGGAGGGCCGGCGACAAAGTACAACTGGGTGAAGGAGAGTATTTTGATGAATCCCAAAAGAATAAGGTGGGGAGGAGTAGTGCAGATCGGAAGAAGAAGAAGAAGAAGAAGAAGAAAGGGGGTAGACGGGGAGCGGCGAGCTGATCCAAAGATCGAGAGGAGGGATCGAGGGAGCTGCAGTTTTGAGGAAAGAAATAAAAAGAAAAGAAGTGAAAGCAAAAAATGAAAATGTATAAAGGCCAATCAGAATTAGACACATGGATAGGTGACCTGATGACCTGATTCATTCCGGTTACCGGTTCATTTAGAGAAGATACCCCTTGTAAATTGGATTATATTGGAATTACTTGTATTTGGGATTATTGTTGGAAGAGCCTCAATAGGTGTGATTAATGATGTGAATTTTTCCTATTTTCTTTGAAACCCCACATATACTCCGATCATTACTCATATCATTGATATCACCTTGATCATATACTAAAAATATCATATAAATATCATTGAAACCCGACATATACTCGGAGTATCATATACTAAAAATATCATTGATATAAATAATCTATTAGAATAAATGAGTAATGATCAAGGGAAATAAATCAAATATATCTAATGTATAGCTAGAATTGCCAATGATCTAATATCCAAGTCACTCATTTATGCTTGTGTGGAAAGCCTTTAAGGTATTGTTGTCGTAAAAAACCCTACGCCCTAATTTATTGTTGCTATATTTATTACAGTGTACTACGGAAATACTCCCGTGACCCGTCGGCCGTTGCTTCTTTCACCGGAGCTCCGTAGCTTTCCCTTGGTTTTACCCGTGTTAGTGATTTCCAGAACCAGGTATCGTTCGTTACACTAGATCTTGATTTTACTAAACAAGGGCGGTCCTGTGTCTTTTAAGGCACGAAATTTTCATGAACTTGTTTATTATATACCAAGTATAAAGTCATAATAAAGAAAATAATTACTCTCTAATTGAGATTATTTTTCTAAAAACAATACCTGATATATAATCCAAGGATAGTGGACAAAATTATATTTAAGTTTTGCCTCGTACTAATTATAAAAGAATATATACTTATTTACTTGACTCACATTATTACAGGGAGGAAGCGCCTATTCCAGTGCAATGGAGGAAGCACCTTTACCACTCGAAGGAGAACGGAACATATTGGTGACGAGTGCTCTCCCTTATGTGAATAATGAGCCTCATCTGGGGAATGTAATCGGCTCAGTTCTCAGTGCCGACGTGTATGCACGTTTCTGTCGTCTGAGACGCTATAACGTCTTGTACGTTTGTTGTAATGACGAATACGGGACGACCACGGAACGCAAAGCAAAAGAGGAGAAGTTGACGCCCCCGGAGATCTGCGAGAAATACCGGAAATTGCACAGGGAGACTTTATGAGTGGTTCAACATTCGTTTCGACCACTTTGGTCGAACATCTACACCTCAACATACTGAGGTTTGCCAAGATGTGTTCAGCTCTCTGTATCGCAACAATCATTTGAAAGAGGATACACTTGAACAGGTTTTCCTTTATATATCCATCTCTACACTTTTTCACTGTTTTTAGCTTGTTATTGGGTTAAACCTGCTTATTAACGGTATCGGGGGGGGGGGGGGGGGGGTGAGAGTGTAGGAGAGAAAAAAAAAATATGTAGTAACTATGGCTGTATAGAGATGTTTGGATAATTTTGCATTCACATGATTCAGAAGTCAATTGAGATTCAAGTGGCTGAGATTTGGCTATGTGCTGGTGTATAACTGCCTTTCGCTTACAGCCTTACACTGGTTTTGTTTGTAATTGCTATCAGCAAGACAACAACCTAGTTTTTATTATAACACTACTATGTCTTTAAATTGCCTTTTGATTTATCAATGTCTCAATTCATTCTCACCCGTTTGACAATGATTTTTTTTGCTGAATGTTTTCACCAAAATTGACAATTAATTTTGGCCAAATAAGTAAGTGAGAGGCAACTTATTGGGCTGACAAACAGAATAAGCCAAATCAGGATAGTAAGCAGGCTATAGAAGAAGGCTTGTGTGGCATTCATAGTTATCTAGTCATTATTCACAGGGCCTAATCTTTTTTAAATGTGTAATCATTTGATGCCTTGGATGGACTCTTTAGTAATTAGAAGTAGTAATGCGTGTTTTTTATTTGTCAGCTGTATTGTGAGGTCTGCCCGACGTTCTTGGCAGATAGTCTCGTAGAAGGTCATTGCCCGCACTGCCACAAGTCATGTAAAAGTGATCAATGCGAGCATTGTGGTAAATTTTTGAATGCTCGGGAGTTACTAAACCCTGTCTGCATGGTATTATTTATTTTCCCTTCCTTTTGATATATCAATTTTTACGATCCCACATTTCTCCTTACCGATTTAATCACCTAACTTCATATGGGCAGATTTGTGGGAGTTCAAGTGCAACCCTTCGCAACACAGACCATCTTTTTCTACAGGTTGATCCTCTAAAGGGGCGTCTGCAAGACCTATTCAAAAAGATGGAAATATCCAACCAACAAGCAGTAACTGATACGCAAAATATTCTCAACAATAAAATGCCACCAAAGTGCATCACTCGCGATCTTACCTGGGGTGTTCCTATTCCTGTGGAAAAATTCAAAGAGAAGGTATATCCTATACTGATTGATTGTGGTTTTCTTAGTTGAATTGTTTTATTAATTGTATAGTTCACGTATATTTACGTCCTGTATATGTAAACACCCTCTGTAACAAAGAGTCATGTCTGTTTTTTGTCCAGAAAAACTGATTTCATCAAGCTAGCCTAATTTTTCTTATAATTTGCTAAATATTTGTCAAAAGGCTGCAAACAATTCTATTAATTAATAACCCCTCCGTCCCACAATTAAGTTCCCAGTTTCACTTTTTGGGTCAAGCTTCAAAAACTTTGACCATTAATCATTCATAATTTACATTATTTTATGCTACAAAATTAATTTTATATACTTCACTGGAATTCTTACTATTCAAATATTAATTTATATTAGATTTTATAAGTATAAATTTTTAGATATTTAGGGTCAAACGTTCACCTAGAAGACCGTAAAAGTCAAACTGGGAACTTAATTGGGGGACGGAGGGAGTATAATACATTTTTTAAGCCAATACACAATTTTTAAAATAAAAATGTGATTTCATGACTTTTAATAGTTGTACTTTGACAAAAATGAATACTTGACCACCAAACAGGACTACTACTTTTCCTGGACAAGGGAGATTTAATTTTTTTTACATAATTGTCTCTTTTTTCTACATACTAGGTGATGTACGTATGGTTTGATGCCCCAATTGGTTATGCTTCCATCACCAAGTGTCTCACATCCAAATGGGAATTATGGTGGAAAAACCCTCAGAATGTGGAGCTACACTTATTCATGGGGAAAGACAATGTCCCTTTTCATTCGGTATAAGCATTCTAGATTTCACTTTGATAAGTCCGTATTTAGACACGCATTTGATGCGTGTTCGGGTCGGATTTTGCTGGTTTTCCTGGCTTTAAGGCGTTGCAAGTCTCAATTTTGGCTCAAGTTGTGTTTAGCAGGCGTTGGATCGAGTTTCATTGCATTTGGAGTTGATTTGAAGAAGTTAGAGTCCGGCAATCGGCGCTTGAGAGGCATGTGGAAAAGATTTGAAGGCGTTCAAGAAAGATTTGAGAGATTTGGAGGTCACCGGGAGATTCACGACGAAATTCTGATGAAGAAAGAGCATTTGGATCGACCTCGTAGGCATCCGGGAGCGTTTGGAGCAAGAAAACGAAGGAAAAGTGAAGAATAAGGTCAGACACGGTCGTGCCTGGAGTTAGGCATGCCGTGCCTGATGAGAAACGAACCTAGGAGCTACTGGAGGCCAGGCACGGTCGTGCCTGGCAGCTAGGCACGCCGTGCCTGGACGCGAAATTCGGCCTCCTTCCGTAGGCACGGTCGCAGGCACGGTCGTGCCTGGCACCGTGCCTGGCCGCGATTGATCCTAATTCGACCCGAATTCGTTGTTTTCTATAAATAAGGCCTCCATAACCCCGTTTTGGGGGTTACGAACTTTGGAGAGAGGCCTAGGGACGAGTTTATCTACGTTTTTTACGTTGTTTAATCCAAGAACCTGGGATTCTTTGTAAGTTCAATTCTTTAATTAATGACAATTATTTCTATTCATCCCAATTCTTTTGATTCGTCAATTATGAGGCGTGAGTAGTTTAATTAGAGATTTGGGGTTGATGAAGGGGTTAATCATGATGAATGGCTAGATTCTTGTCGGTTTAATTGCATGAATGCCGTTTAATTTGTGTTTGAATAATTTAACTGATATCTCTTGTAACCTAGATGGCCACTAGAATTACAATTGCTCATAGAATAAATTAAGAGATATCTAATTTGTTCTAGGACACATTCACACACACTTAATCGTTCGCTAAGAGATTAGTAGCGATTAAGGGGCCGTAAGCTCGCTCGTTTTGGCAATAATTTAGGATCTTGTCGCATGAGAGATCAGCCTGGACCCCTAAATTATTGTACTCTGCGCCGCGAGAGCGGTAAGAACTTAGTAATGATTAGCTAGGCTCAATTAAATTAAATTCATGTAATTAGGCCTGTTCTGCCAGAAATCTGGTTAACCCCGGAATCAATTCCTGTTCCCTTTGTCGTTAATTAAAGAAAACCAAATCTTTTTATTCACTCATTATTAAAGTATTATAAACATTATTCCTTGATATTAGGGAAAAGGGACAAATAAGCCTTTGAACTAACTAAAAAAGTGCAAATCACCCCTTATATAGAAGGTTTTGTCCGGCCGTCGTCATTTGGGGTGGTTCCCGGTGGAATTTTTTTATGAAAGTTTTTGAACATCTTCTTCATTAAGTCTAGTTTAGTCATACCAAGTTTTAGTTAAAAATAAAACCCGGAAGGCAGTATAATGATTTTCTGAAATATACTGTGTTGTTTAACTGCACAGTTATCTTCAAAAATTCATTTGACTGGTTTCCAGATTGAATTTTTATCTGAAATTTGGTATGAGTAAACAAGACTTAATGAAGAAGATGCTAAAAAAAAATTCATCAAAAACTTACACGGGAACCTCCCTAAAATACGACGGTCGGATAGAGCCTTCTATATAAGGGGCAATTTGCACGATTTTGGTTAGTTTGATGACTTATTTGCCCCTTTTCCCTTTAATATTATAAAGACGCCTAAAATTCAGAACTTAGCAAATGAAAATGATAACAACATCGGGTACTAAACTGCTAATAATTAAAACTTTTAAATTTAATTCAATGTAATAACAGGGTATTGTTTCTTTTTAATAGAAGGGGCGAATATGAAAATTGTTATTACACATTTATGGTTTGTTTTAAACTAATCTGATTTATTTTTGTTTAGCTTGGTTGAAGTATTTTTTTGACTACATTGACTGAAGTTGCTGAAGGTGACGATCATTTCAAGCTACTTTTCATATAATTTTTTCTTTATTTCATTATTAAAATATATTTTAAATTAAATTTATTCATAAATTAATATATTTAACTTATTCAACCACTTCTCTCAGAATTTCACCCATTTTACTAGATCCAACCAATTTCAATGCTACTAAACATTCTCGAAAATCAAAATCAGACTATGAAAGGGGAATATCTAAAAGTGCTAAATTAATTTGAAAAAACTTTCTTAAAATATTTTATGATTTGATGTGCATTGGTTTGATATATAAAAAATCAGCAAATGAAAATCTAAATAGTTCTAATAAAATAAAACTTTGAGGTGACTAATTTGAATCCATCAACCGTACGATTAATAAAAATCTAATGTTATTTTGGCTTTTCATTCTACTCCCTTCGTTAAACTATTACAAACCTTATTCCTTCCTATTATAATGTCACTCGAGATAAAGTATTAGCAAATGAAAATGATAATCACTTTGAGTGCTAAAAATAAGACTTCTAAATTTAGTTCAATTTACTATTCTTTCTTGTTAAGAAAAGGCCGGGGAAAATATAAAAATATTGATTTATCATTTTTTATTTGTTTTAAACAACTTTGAGCTATTTAAGGTTTAGCTTTATTGAAGTTACTTTTTGACTTAAATTGACTGAAATCATTTTCAACTACTTTTCATATAATTTTTTATTTGCTTCATTAATAAAGTATAGTTTTAATTAAATTTATCTATAAATCAACATATTCAACTAATTCAGCAACTTCTGTCAGAATTTCATCAATTTCAATAGAATAAGGAAATTTAGTCAATTTATGTGTAACTAAACTGGCTCTAAATATCAAAATTAGAACATGAAAGTAACAATAGATCAACGGCTAATAAAAAGGACTTTTTAATGGAGCAGGAAATTTCTCTCTTTCATACGCAATATAAGGTAAGATAAGCTATCTAACAATTGAGCGGAAGAAATGTTTCTTTCATATGTTGGGCTTTTTAGATATAAAATTTTAGATATAAGAAAGACTAAGCCATAAGCCGTCTAAAAATTGAGCGAGATATTTCTTTCTCATAAGTAGCCTTTTAGGTATAAAATAATCCAGCTAACAATTGAGAAGAGGAATTTTCTCAATCATTGCCTACCGGGTTTAAAAAATACTCCTTCCGTCCCTTAAAACTCTAAGTTTGATCGGCACGAGGATTAATAAAGTAAAAATTGTGTAGTTGATGTTTGTGCAGAGGAGAGAGAATTAACTGGAACCACAAATTCTTATCTTAAAAGGGAAAGTGACAAAGTTAGTGGGACATCCAAAAAAGGAAAGTTGACAAAGTTTTAAGGGACGTGGGGAGTAAGATTTTTGTCTATCATATATAGTGCTTTAGGTATAAGACAAGATAGCTAACAATTGAGCGGAAGATTTCTCTCTTTCTCATATGTACTTCTTTTAGGTATACTATAAGATAAGAAGACTAACAAATGAGCGAAAAAATTCTTCTCTCTCATATGTAATGCTTTTAGGTATATAAGGTAAGTTGTCTACTAATTAAGCGGGAGAACTTTCTCTCTCATATGTAAGAGTTTTAGGTATAAAAAGAAAAGTTTGCTAATAATTAAGTGGCAAAACTTTCTTGCTCATATGTAGTTCTTTTTAAGTATAAGATAATCTAGCACAAGTCATCAGGAAAATTTTCTCTTCCATATGTAGTGCTTTTAGGTATACCATAACATAACATAAGCCGACTAAAAATTAAACGATTAGACAAGAATCTAGCTCTCATTTGTAGTGATTTTAGGTATTCGAAGATAAATTTGCTGACTATTAAACGGGAAAATTCGCACATTCTTATGCGGGTAATGTGCATGTAAGGTAGACCTAAAAGTTGTAATTCTTAGGCCTCTTTCTTTTGAGGTGCTTCCGTATCAATTTTTCGGATGAAATTTTGTGAGTATGTTCTCCCTAATATGTAGGTTATGTCAACCAAATTTCATATTGAAATACAATCGGGAAGTTAGTTAAATAATTTATTAAAAAAATGCATTTTTTGGCCCAAAATATTGTGCAACTTTCATAAATTTATTTAACTAACTTCCTGATTGAATTTTAATCTCAAATTTGGTGGACATTATCTACATTTCATGGATAATATGCTCACCAGATTTCATTAAAAAGTTCAACCCGAAAGCAGCGTACATGAACATTTTCCATTCTTATGCTATTTTTATTTTATATTTAGTTCTTCTTCTTCTCCTCTCCCCCAACTAAAATTTGAGCAAGAGAACTTTCTCTTAATTGTAGTTCTTTTTGTGTAAGATAAGCCAACTACGAATTAAACATGATAATTTTCTCTCGCATATGCTAGCACTAATTTAATTAATGAGTAACAAGTTATTATCTAACTAATACGTAGTATTCATTAATTTTAATATTTATTGTATTCAATTTGTCAACAAGTAGCAAATTATAATGAGTCGTGTTTAATTTTTTTTCCTAATATATTCTTCATTGAATATTTATTGTTATGAGCTTATATTTTATGGTATTAGTTTATTGTACTCTTATTTTCCGAAAATGTAAAATCCTACAATTATTTTTATTTTAATATTAAATAGACAATGAGTAAAAATATATGCACCAATTGTTTTTTTTCTTGAGCGCGTTTTTTTTAAAAAGCACTATACTAGTTTTTTTTTTAATTTAAAAAGCAATACAATTACAATTACAATTAACTAAGGCTCTGTTTGCAAGTGATTGTGCTTAAATAAAAACACTTTTTGGGAAAAAGTGATTAGTAGTAAAAGTTAGTAGTGTTTGGTAAAATAAGTGTTTTTTGTGTAATAAAAAAAAGTAAAAAGTAGATTCTACACGAAAACCGAGAAAGTAAAAGTGGTATTGTTTGGTAAAATAAGCCTCAACACTGGCGCCGTCTGTGGGAAACTGAACTAAAAGTTTCCAAAAAACTCTCCCAAACAGCTACTAAATCTACCCACAGCAAGCACGATGACAAGAAACAACCGCCAACGTGACCTCTCCGAGCAGCTGTCCCGCGGACGAAGCAACCGCGGACAAACCACGGAACGTTCCGAGACATTGGGGACAACTGGGGGAGAAGGTGGCCTCACAAACCTCATCCCCCATGAGGCCAGACGCGACCCTCGACTCATGAGGGAGCTAGCGGAAACGATGCGCCGAATGGCGGACGAACAGGAGGCGAACAAAGAGGTGTACTCAGCTAACACCATCTGGACGCCCATATCACCCATCCACCGCATGCAGTCCCTGGATGAAACAGCGGAATCTGCCGGGCGCCGGACGCCCATCCACATGAGGTTGGGACACAATCCGTCCTCCCACGAGGCTGGGGGCACACCGGCGCCAGCACCCCTCGATATGGTTGGCAGGACGATCATCGGGGGCGCACGCCGGACGTTCCATCAGAACATCAGGGCACCACCATCACCCCCGCTGTCAGTAATATTGGACGACGTTTCCAAAGGCATGGTGCCCATATCACCCGGAGGCAACCCGACGCAGTTCCCCCTCGAAGGAACGTTGCGCTCGAGGCCGCCCCTCCTGTGTCCCCCGGAAGGGCCGCACAGGAGGCCCGGCTAGAGGCAATGGAACGGCGAATAGCCGAGATAGACAGACGGGCGGAGCCCGTCCCGGCCACGCCGCGCTTCTCCCTCACCTCACCATTTACCCCGAGGATCATGAATGCAGAGATCCCGCGGGACTGCAGGCCCCCCCAA